GGCCTGTCAATGACATCCCTGTCCCCAGATCCCCACCCGCTTCACGAGACAGAATGTGACTGTTAAGGTCAGGGACAAGGAAACCCTGCTGAAACATTCAAGTGTGAGGCACAGCTCGAGGCAGGGGAGCAAGGGAGAGGTGATTTAGTTTGGCATTGCTTAGGGCAATTCTGCTAAGCCAGAGGGTTGTCCTGTTTGAGACGGAAGCCCACTCAGATGATGTGAAAGAAACCAGCTCCTGATGACATCTTTCAAAAGCCTACACTGATCTGCACCTAAAACCAGCCTTATCTTTGAGCTTTGCAGTCTCATGAGCAATCCACACCCTTTCTGGACTTTCTGGACTTTTCTAACACCTGCAAAGAAAAAAGGCCTGACACAGCAGAGGTTACTGAAGGTTACTGGGCTGGGATACACAAAGAGCTTGTGTGAAAAAAAAAAAAGCCCGTTTATCCAGATAGAGGTTTTGAGACAAAGGAGGATCCTGAGTCTCCAGCCCCCACAAGTAGAACACAACCAGCAGGGAGGAGGCTGACCTCCAGTTCCGACCCCTCCCCACAGCACCTAGGAATTCCGAGAGAAAACAAAGGAGAATCTCCCTCCGCCCAGGCTATTGTTCTAGCCAAAGCCCACAGCCTAGGTGAACCTTTGCCCAGCCTCATTCTGCAGCCCAGTGCTTGATTTTTGCCCTTTATGGCTTCGGAATCATGAAGAAATAGGAGTGGGGAGAATACCCAGGTCATTCACAAACTGGAATAAAGATTTGGGAAGTGACCAACATATTTAATGTGCAACATAAAATCACTGCTGTTTGTGTGTGTGCATGCATCTGTATGTGTCTCTATGTAAAAAACAAAACAAAACAAACCAGGGATTGGTGTTGTGCAATAGTTAAACCACTGCCCGTGACATGTATATTCCATATTCCATATGGGTGCTAGCTCAAGTCCCAGCGGCTCCACTTCCAATCCAGCTTCTTATACCAGGAAAAGTAGTGAAAGATAGTCCAGGTGCTTGGGCCCTGCATCCATGTTTGAGAAGCATATGTAGCCCCTGGCTCCTTGTACCTAGCTTCAGCTTGGCCCAGACCTGACCTGTGCGGCCACTTATAGAGTAAAGCAGCAGGTGAAAGATTTTTTATCTCTTTCTTCCTCTCTCAATTTGTAATCTAGCTTTCAAATGAATAAAAAATAAATCTTAAATAAAAAAGAGGGCTGGCATTGTGACACAGCCAGTTAAGCCACGACATACAACGTAGCATTTTGTATGGGCACCACTTCAGGTTCCAGTAGGTCCACTTTCAATCCAGCTCCCTGCTAATGTGCCATGAAAGCAACAGATGATGGCCAAGTGCCTGGGCTCCAGCCACCCATATGAGCCCAGGCTCCTGGCTTCAGCCTCGGTCCAGCCCTAGCCATTATAGCCATTAGGTGAGTAAACCAGCAAACAGAAGATATCTCTCTCTCTGTAATTCTTTCAAATAATAAATAAATCTTTACAAAAGGCATTGCAGCTACCAAAACCAGCCAAAGAAGAATAAGCATAGCTGAAACCTTTGGATAGGAATTGCTGTTTCATTACAGTGATTTCTGACAATTTGGCCAAAAGACAGAAATGGCCCAGTATACCAAATTTAGCAATTCCAAGGTCTCAAACAGAACCTATGTATTCAACATCTATGGAATAGCAAGATGAAGAAAGATTGTAATTATTCATACCCAGTTAGAGGCAGGGATCTATGACCTCAATTGGGGACACCTGTGACATCACATGGTGCTGCTGAAAACGTGGTCAATAGACATAATAATTGAACTGGCAAAAAAAAATCTTTTCCTATGTGGAACATAACATATGGCACAAAAGCAATGGCATCTAAGACTTGGTGAGATGTGGCATACCTGCTACAGAGTGCTATCAGACTCACCATTTTTACAAAGAGGCTGGAGTGGTAGTAAAAAGGGTTAGGCAGCCACCTGTGTCAACAGAATCCCAAGTGTGTGCCAGTTCAGGTCCCTGATGTTCCACGTCCAATCTAGCTCCCTGTTAACACACCAGGGAAAGTAACAGAAAATGGCCCAAGTACTTGTGCCCTGCCACCCACATGGGAGACCCAGTCGGACATCCAGGTTCCTGGTTTTGGCCTGGTCCAGCCCCAGCAGTTGTAGCCATTTGGGGAGTGAAACAGCAGATGGAAGATCTTTCTTTCACTCTAACTTTGCCTCTCAAATAAATCTTTAAAAAAAAAAAAAATTGTAACCCAGATATCCTGCTGTGCTTCAAATCACAGCTGAAGTAAAGGTAAAAAAATCACACAGGACATTCAGGCTCTCCATAATGTGGTCCCCCAAACCTTGCCTCATTCAACCTAATGCTGTGACTGTTCTATGCACAGAACAGAGAGGACAGCCCCCTTCTTCACAGCCCCACTCCCCACTTGGGCCCCCACATGTGCTCTTCTCTCAAGCCCAGCTCACTGCTGACGGCCCCAGTAGGACTGGCCCCCTTATTTCTGTGCTCCCTGCAGCACCAGACCCACCTCTAAGTTGAATGACTTCCCCTCCCCCTACTTAGTTCCTGGAGCAGCTCTGCACACACTATTTCTAGGTCAGCACTGCCACAGTGATTCGTAATTAGCATTTTTACCCATCTTCTCACGCAAACCACAGTGGGAACCTCAGGGCCACCCTCACTCATCCTTCTATCTCTAGTACCTGGCACACAGCATGGGGGACCCTGATGATAGATGAAGGGTGGAGACTTGTTCTAAGGTAGGACTCCGAGCAGCGGGTTGGTGGGAGCTCCATGGGTCGCTGGCAGTGCTTTGGAAGGCAGTTCTTGCAAGAATCTGTTGTTAGAGCCAGGTTCAGCCTAGCTTCTCTGCTTCCTGCCTCACCATGCCACACTTCTCCCCACCTGCTTCGCCATGGTCAGCCTTTACCAAACACCAGGCTGGGGGAGGGGGTGTCTCCCAATCCTGGACTGCGACCTCCAAACCCTATGCTGAAATACCCCTTCTCCTTCCAGAGAAAACTCCTCTCAGGTATTTAAGAAAGGCTGGCTGCTGCTACACCGACTCTGATTCAGAACCCTGCTCCCTCTCCGTTCTCCTGTTCACTACATTCCTTCATCCCTCCCTACATTTGGTCTCAGCAGCAGACACTCCTGGCCATAGACACTACCCATTCCTCCCAGGACCTTTCTCCACACACACAACTTCCAGGAGGAAAGTCAGCATTCCACTTCTACCAAGCTGGCAAGTTCTAATTTGCCCTGGATGTTAGCCAAGTTAAACTTTCCTTTTCAAAACTAACAATCAACTTCCGTCATCCTCCATGTCTTGTCTCTGTCCTGATCCTGACAGTTGATGTCTGAAGTTACTCGATTATAACTCTCTTCTGAAGCGGGTGGGATCCAATCTGAGTCCAGCCTATTGCTCCTTACAGGAGGTGCCATCTGAGAAGTCACCCCTGGCCACCAGGGCCTGTTTCTTCCCCTTCTAACAAGACGCTCTGCCAGGCTGTTTGACACGTGTCACCAGGTTGTGTGGAAACTCAGGTGAAGCCATATGACCTTCAGTTTCCATAGCAAAAGGTCTATAAAATACATATTGTATAGTGAGAACAAGGAGCCAACTCTAAATAACCTACAAGTAGATTCATCTGCAGCCTTTTGAGGAACCAAAGCTGTACAGCACTAACTCCAAGTGTAAAGGGGAGTTCCCAATAATACCTGTGGGCACTTGCATTCAAGGAAATCAGAGTGTGCTCCCCTCCACTCCTACGGTGTGGGCTGCACCCAGTGACCTCCTCCTCTGTAAGGAGCATGTAAGAGGAGGACAGCCAGGTGAACAAGCCAGGCGAATCATGCTGATGGGGTGAAAACCACACTCTACCCTGGTGGGCTCCAGACAACATCCACTAGGGAGGTGGAATCCACTCAACCCGTGTGACTCAAAATTGCCAAGGTCACCAAAACAAAGTCTGAGAAACCACCACAGCCAGACACAAGAACTAAATCTTAGAGTGGAAAGCTGGATGGGCTGATGAAACAGAAAAAAAAAAAACCAAAACACTGAAGAAATGACAAATATGCTATGGACTGTGGGCAGTAACAATGGGCCAATACCAGCTCATCAATTGCAACATATGTACCACACTGATGCAAGACACTACTGGGGGGCAAAGTTAGGAATATTTTATATGGGAACTCTAGATGGTCTTTTCAATTTTCCTGTAAGTCCACGACCACAATTTTTTTTTAAAGTCTATTTTATTCATTGCAACTCGAGACCATAAAAAAAAGAAACCTCTAGTTTTTAAAGGCAAATTTGCTTAAAAACTTAAGGGAAAAATATGCTAGGGTTTATGATTTTAGCCCACAGTGAAACAGAAGGGTCAGGCATGCATGAATGAATGTCATTCTCCACTCTTTTCAAGCACACACAGCGGGCAGTGGTGTCAGAGGCTGGAATCTACCGGCTATTTGCAAGTGTTTGCCTCTCATTTGCTCCACAAAGTTAAAATTTATGCACTTATTTCTAAGGTTTAGTAGGAAAATTAGCAAGAGAGCCTACAGTTCTTCAGACTATGTGGCTAAACCGGTTTATTCTGACGAAACAGAAAAGGTAGGAAAGGAAAGAAAACCTGACTTTGACCACGGAGCCGGATTGGCCGTGTACCTACGGGGCTCCAGGCAACCAGACCCATCATCCGGGCCCCGCTTACTTCTGGCTCTGGGAACTGGAATAAATCCGAGTCTAAGCTGAGCCCCGGAAAAGCCAGGAAGAGCCAGGCGGGGACAGGCCGACGGAGGGTCAGGCCAGCAGGAGGGGTCGGGCTGGCGGCGGGGACGCGGGGAACCCGACCCGTTCCCCAGCCGGCGGGGCGGCCTTGGCCCCGCTCTGCCCCGGGGCCCAGCGGCCGCCCGCACCCGGAGCCGCGCCGGGGAGCCTGCCTGCCTCCGCCGCGGTCCTCCCCGGGTGTCTCCCCACCCCAACTCACCAGTCCCGAGCTCCGGGTCGCCAATCCGGGGCCGGGGGTCGCCTCCCTCCCGAGCCCGCACGTCCGAGCTCCGACTCCTCCACGAGCCGCCGAGCGCGACACCGCGTCCCCGCCCCGTAATCTCCCGGCTCTTCCAGGCCCTCCACCCAGATTTTTCCCCATCGGCCCCGGGATTGGTTCCTGCCTAATTCAGCCTTCCAATCGGCACCCCCATTTCCTCTACGTCACTGATCACTGGGCAAATCCCCCAGGCAGTTGCGGGGCGAGGGGGTGGAGCGGCAGGGCTGGTGAAAGGGAAACTGAAATCCGGCGGGGCGGGGCCGCGGCCGGCGCTGCCCGAGGAGCGAGCGGAAGGCCGGGCCGTTACCGTCCTAGGAGGCGAAATTCTGAGGCTTCGCGAGCCCCTCGAGGTGGGACTCTGGGAGGCAGGAGTGCCGGCTCCCCAAGCCCCTGCCCGTCTCTGGGACTCCCAACCGCCGCCGGGTCAGAGTGCATTTTGAGGCGAAGTTACCGTCACCAGGTGCTTCATATTAGATATGTCCTCCCTCCCCAGCCCCTGCTCATAACGCACACCCCCTTCACTAACACGGCCTAACTGTGCTTCCAGAACAAGGCAGGATGTTCTCAAAGATTCCTCTGGGCCTGTTGACGAAACTTAGCTACCATTTCTGCGGCTTTGAAACGCTTTAAGTCAAATACATGGCAAGCGTTGCCCCCCATCTAACGGAAGGGGGAAAATGAGGGGCTGAGGGTCCGTCGGCGCCTCGGCACTGACTGAATTTTGGGGGAGGAAATCGCTTAGCGCCCCCCTGCCCGGTTCTTTGGGGGAAAGGGAGATTTTCCAGGAAGGTCCTGGTGCCCCTGGGAAGCCCGGGAAGCCGCGCCGCCCCGGATCCCGTCGCCGTCCCGCGAACCCGCGTGGAGGGGTCGGGGGTCTCGTCCATCCTCTCACTGCTGGAGGAGGAGGCGGCGGCCAAGGCCCTCGGGTCGTCCGGCTCCCTGTTCCCGAGGGTGCAGACCTAGCTGGGACGGGCAGAAGTCGGGGGAACTCTAAACGTTGCCTGCCTGCCTCCCCCCTCCTCGCTGCGGCTGGGGAAGCATGGAGTGAGTCCCCGGCGAGGCTCGGTTAGTAGGTAGTAGTGGAAGCCATGACGCATCCTGTATAAATTCGCATTCATGTTTTACATCTCACGTCCTTGGTCCCCATACTCATACCTTCTGTTTGTCCAGTGGTGTCATTGGTGTGTGTTAGGGAGAGGATGGAAGGTGTATGGGCCTCACTCCTTTGGCACTCCTTATGATTTAAAACCTGCTCGCTAGTTGTTGTTTTTTTATATATAAGTATTCTGAACTTATCCTGCCGCTGATTGGTTCTCTGCCGGTCGGTCCTCAGAAGGGGCTTGTTTCACCTCCAGGCCCTTTGGGGGTACGGGGTACACACCAACCCTTGTGGTTCTTTTCACCCACTTAATTCCTTTCCTCCTCTCCCCCACTTCAGCTCTCTGCTGCCTTCCCTGCGCATTTACATGGGCGCTGGAGCCCCCCGAAGGGCCTGCAGTGACCCTCTGACTTCCCTCTGGCTGCCTCTGCCTCCCTGTGCCCACTGACCCTCTCTGCCCCCACCTCCCTGTAGTCAACCCCGCACGTCCCCAGCTGGCATCTCTCCCCCATCCACCACCACCCCTACGCCCACCCTCCAGTCTGAATCGGCCGTCCTGCCTGGTTTTCCTTTAACAGTCGTCGGCATTTCAGAGCATTTGCTTATTTCTTTGCCAGCCATGTTTCTGTTCCCCGCCCCACCCCCTCATCATAAGCTACCTGAGAGTTGAAACTTCAGCTGTGTTCCTGGGCCGTAGTTGTCACTCAGTAAATGTCTGCTGAATGAATGTGCTCAGTGTGCTGGCAAAAGCTGCACAGCTGCTCGGGGAGACACGTGGTTGTAGTCCCAGACTTGCACTCTTGCTCCACACGCTGTATACCCTTCTCAGGTCCAAGGGGCTAAGCTTGACACATGGGGATACTTGACCCCCTGGCTGCTGGCATTGCAGGAAAATGGTGGCCTCAGTTCTTGTCTCACGTGGAAGAATTTCCACGTGGACAGGGACAATGAGCAAAGCAAGATTTATTGAAAGCCAGAAACCTCCCTCCACATCTATCACCAGGGGAACTCTATGGGGCAGAGTTGATCTTTAAGCCTATGGAGGCCTGCCCTTTATAAAAGTAGCTCTCTCTATTGGCCCCTTTCTAAAAACCAGTCCTGATGTAACCAATCAGGAGAGGACCAGAAAACAGCCAATCAAAAAGTAAGGATTATCATCCTGGCTAGCCTTCTGGTAAAACTAAGGGCAGTGACCTGACCTAACTGCCTACCAACCCTTCTGATTCCCCGCATTCTAACTGACCCAACTGCCATTCGCCCAGCTCACTCCTCACAGTCCAACTGCCCCAACTGCCAGTTAGCCCGGCTCACTCCTCACAGCCCACCTCCCTCACAAGAATGGACCCTGACTGCTATTCCCAATATGGGATAAAAAGGGTTCTAATGTCTGCTTGTGCTGACAAAGGGCACAGAGCCAGAACAGCATCCAAACATTCCTTTGAGGATGGACCTAAGGATCTGTGGTAGAATGCTGATTTTCTCAGAGGCTTCATCTGGAATACTGCCTGGGGTGTGATGGCTTCTGGTTGGTTCATCCTGGAGAACACATGGCCTGGGTAGAGTCTTCTTAAGCAACAGCTTCAGTCAGTGGCACCTCATGGCTTGTCCTTGCTCGGGTCAGACCTGGATTGTCTTCCAGAGACTGGCCTGCCAGAGCTTGGCAGATCTAGACATTCTGCTCTAATGGATCCAGGCGTGGTGACCTTAGATCTGCAGAGAGGGTGGCCGGGTGACAGTGACAGGCCTTTCCAGATTTCAGAAGGACATGAGAGGGACTGAAAGTTTTTTTTTAGCAGGGAGTCTTCAGGTTTGAATTTAACAATTCCCAAAACCCTAGGCAGTTTGTCAGGTAATTGTTGAAGAGCTTCTTGGGATTTAGCTAATTCAGCTACGGATTTAGTAAGGTGGAAGAGTTCTTGGGCTGTCACTAGATTGTTAGTAGGGAGAGGTCTCCCATTAGAGCTTCTCAAAAGAGCTTAGTCCTAAATTAGAAGGAGTGTCTCTAAAAAGTGTTAACTCTAAGGGTAGCAGGTTTACCCAGGGGAGATGAACTTCCTGGAACAACTTTCTAAGGTGTTGTTTAAGGATGTCATTAGGAGCCGGCACTGTATCCAGGCAGGTGAAGCTGCTGCTTGCCACACCAGCATCCCGTATGTGTGCAGAATGTTCAATCCCGTTCAAGTGCCAGCTGTTCCACTTTGATTCAGCCATCTAGCAGTGTGTCTGGGAAGGCAGCAGAGGATGGTCCAAGTGCTTCCCTTCCATCCATGGGGGAGAAACAGATGAAACCCCCAGCTCCTAATTTGGCCTGGCACAGCCTTGACCATTGCAGTCATCTAGGGAGTGAAACAGCAGCTGGAAGATCCCTCTCCACCCCTGATCTGTCTCTCCCTCTGTGTCTCTAACTCTGACTTTCAAATAAACATTTTTAAATAGACTTTTTAAATTTTATTTTTATAACTTTTATTTAAAAAGCAGAGTTACAGAGAGGAATAGGAGAGAGAGATCATTCGTCCTCTGCTTCACTCCCCAAATGTCTACCACAACTGGAGCTGGGCTAATCCAAAGTGAGAGCCAGGAGCTTCTTCCAGCTCTCTCACATGGGTGCAAGAGCTCAGGACATGGACCATCCTCTGCTACTTTTCCAAGCCGTAAACAAGGAGCTGGATCAGAAGTAGAGCAGCAGGGACACAACCAACGCCCATATGGGACGCTGATGCCATAGGTATAGACTTGGTCTATTTTGCCACAGCACCAGCCCCTTAAAAAAATTTTTTTGGTAGATATATTCCTTGATGAGCAGTTTTGGTTTAAGCAAGAATTCATGACTGCCCTCTAAAAGTTAATTTATGTATGATGGGGGTACAGGAAATTGCTATGACATGTTTTGTTGTGTTGAGGTTCTTATGAATTTAAGTGAATTGGTACTTTCATGATGATTAGTATGGCTGTGCTGTCACAGCCCTAACTATTTGAGCTTTTTTGCATTGTAACACAAGCTGAGACCACCAAGTAGCTGATTGACAGTAAGGAAGCTGCTCCTTCATGCTGGCTGACTGAAGCGCCACACTGATAATTGTACACTGAAATGCAAGCAGTCTGAGCCTTTTCCTCCAAGTGGACATCTAGAAGCAAAGGTAACACAACTCCCGGGGCAATGAACACTGATGCTCAAACTGTTGTCTGAGACCCACCTCACTGTCTCCACTCTGCAAGGATTCGCTCTGGAAAGGCCCCGACTCCTGGCAGCTTTGCTGGTATGACCAATCCTTGACTTCACTGCATTTGCTGCTGTCCAGACCTATGGGCATCAGCCAGACTCATGCGTTATGAGCTTGTTTCTAGCACTTTGTGCTTGAGTCACTTTCTTTTTCCTAGTTTTGCCCATCTTTTCCTATGTTTCTTTTGCTTACTTTTGTTTATACTGCTTATATATACATTGCAATAAATCAAATATTTAGGAACTGTCTTTCTTCATCCGGCTTCTATCCTTCATCTACTCTTCTTGGAAAACTTCCTTGAGTTTAAAATTGTCACCATATATTGGGGAAACTGTCCTTCACTGGTTGGTTCTATGAGACAAAACTTACCCCAAGGGGCCAGAACTGTGGCAAAAGTTAAACTTCCACCTGTGGCACCAGCATCTCATATGTGTGCCTGTTCATGTCCTGGTGCTGCACTTCCAATTCAGCTCCCTGCTTGTGGCCTGGGAGAGCAGTGGAGGATGGCCCAAGATTTTGGGCCCCTATATGCACATGGAAGACCTGGAGGAATCTCCTGGCTCCTGGCTTAGGATTGGCTTAGCTCTGGCCATTGCAGCCATGTGGGGAGGGAACCAGCAAATGGAAGATCTTTCTATCTCTCACCTTCTCTCTGTACCTCTGCCTTTCAAATAAAAATAATGAAATCTAAAAAAAAAAAAATTCTAAGAAAAAATATCACCCCAAAAAAGGCACCTTAG